ATTCTCAAAAACTGCTAGCGAGATTGGGAACAATATTTGTTTCAAGAATAATTTTAAAGTATGTGTCATCTCATTATCCTGCCTCCTGGAATCTCTCCTGGGGAAATAATGAGAAATACAGTAAAAAATTATGTATAAGCAAGTTCATGGCAGATTCATTTTTAATAGTAAAGGCTTAGGTGTGACTTAAATATTCTGTAATATGGGTATGTTACATAAATGATGGGATACTTATAAAGAGAAGGTAAGTCAGCTCTTAGAGTGTTTCAGAAGAATGTTTTGAGGATACTCACGTGATATAATGTTATGGTTTTTATAAAAAAGCCATCTATTGTATTTTACATAAAGCACATGATGGCAATTGCATTTTGTCAAAAATCTACAGGCAGAAGGAAACAGACGAGATATTAACAATGGTTATCTCTCTGTTCACAGAGTACTAAGTTTTCTGATAAAAACTGCAGATAAAAACTTAGAAAGCACAGGACTTCTGCTAGCTGTGTCCTTACTCGGCAAATCACCTGCAAAGACTCTGGGGTCAATTATATCTCACCTGCTTGCAGTAGTTCCTGAGAAATTAGGAGGGACTCAAACTTGATAAGCAGTTGATTAAAACTGTACTTAGCACAGCACAGGGCGGGAAAAGGGGCGGCTGGGTGTGAAGGTGATGGAAGGGGAGTGATGGGAGGAGGAGGTCATCCAAAGGTTGAGAAACAACTTACACAAATTGCTTTTGTTCAGCCTGAAAAAGCATTTTCATTTAGTTCTTCAGTTTAGTGCTGTGGCCTAAGTCCTGAGAGTGGTGGAGTCATTGTACCCACTTATATATTCAGGTCCCATCCAGGCAGTGGGAAATTCCAAAGAAATAGGCATAATCAGTCGGACATACTGTCATGTGGGGATGCTTTTAATGAATGTGCAAAGGTTGTATGGATCAATTGTCCATTTGATTAATTCCTCTGGCAGGAGAGAATTAAATTTACTTAGGCTACACACCAGCAAAGGCTGAATGCTCTTTAAAATGTGATTTTCTGTGCTAAGGCCAATTTTTTTTTTTTTCCGGGCAAAACATTTCTTGAGATAATAATGGAAGTCAATGAGAAAATGGAATTTTACATATAAATATTCACTACATACCACTTTGTCAGAAAAGCATCTAAAGTGCAAAACAAGGTCAAGGTCTATATAGTATTCATCATTATTTGCAGTAAAATCTTCCTTTCTAGTTCTTATTTGCATTGTTCCATAGAAGGGGTGATAAATTTCTGTTTTAGAGATAATTCCTTGTCAAAGCTTTACCCTCTCCCTCTCTAGAAGGCGTTCAACATTAGCGTACTAGAGGCTTCTAAATCCAAATGAGGCAATTATCTTCTTCAACCCTTGGGCGAGTGTGAAGGCTCAGGGAAACAGAAAAGTCTTGCACTTTTTTTTATTAACATATAATGTATTATTTGTTTCAGAGGTACAGGTCCGTGATTCATCGGTCTCACACAATTCACAGCGCTCATCATAGCACATACCCTCCCCAATGTCCATCACCCAGCCACCCCATCGCTCCCACCCCCCTCCACTCCAGCAACTTTATCACCTGGAATGATAGCATCCGATATGTCCGCAGAAAGGAAGGAGACATATTCTGATAGGTATAGGGAAGCTGGGACACATACTCAAGGCTCAAAAATTGTTCCACTGAATTTGCTCAAGGAATGAATTTCTTGAATGCCTATCATGTGCCCAACGTGGTGTTGGGTCCCCACGGAGTAGAGCAGTGAGCAGATCAAAGTCAATGTTACCATGGAACATACAGTCTAGGGCAAGAGACAGACATTAATTGAATGACTCAAATATATAATAGCTTCATTATTCTGCTGCAAGTGATGTAAATTCCCAAACCATTAGCTTATATTCCAAGGCTGGCGGAAAAACTCACTGCCAACGAGAATCCTGGACCAGATTTCCTTCCTGTTTAGGGTTGGTGTCTTACTGAGAATCACTATAAAGACAAAGACACATGAGAGGGTCCACTCTGAATGAAGTCTGAGGTGGGAAAACTTTTCCTTTGGCCCACACCAAATGAGGACCTCTAATGGACTGATCTCAACTGAAGGCCAAATACAACCCTAAGATGCCCAAACCCCCCGAGACTTGCTATTGCCAACACTGCCCCAGCCACAGAGAAACTCGCATCTCTCTCGGAACGGGTGTTATCTGCCTTTTGTCCTAAGCTGGGGCAGGGAGGAGTGTTGGTCCCCAGTCTAGAGCAGAAGACAGAGAAGCTGTTCTTCCTTCTTTGGGAGCCAAGGCACAGAGTCCTGTGTGGATCCCTCGCCTGAGTCAATGTCCTCTTTGATTCTCTCTATTCCTACCATCCGGGTCTTCAATATTCAACCACTATTCATTCATTCGACAGATGCTAATTTCAAGGTCTACTAGGTTGCTGGTGGCATAGCAATGAACAAGACAAGGCTCCTTGACTGCAAAGAGCTTCCATTCCAAAGGGGAATGCAGCCAATAAGCAAGGAAGCAAGCAAATCTTTGCAGAATGTGGGAGATGTTAGGAAGAAGGTAAACAGAGGGAACCATCTGGGTTATTGCTGTGTGTGTGTGTGTGTGTGTGTGTGTGTGTGTGTGTATGTGTGGTGGGTGAGGCTGGATTTTAGTAAGAGAGGTCATGGAAGGTGTCCTCAGATCTGAGGACAGAACGAAAGGATGAGAAGGTGACTATGGAACAGTGAGCATGAGAAAGGCATTCCAGGCAGAGGGAAACCCGTGTGTATAGAAGGCTCTCATTTAAGGGGATCAAGGAACAGAAAGGAGGCCAGTGGGGCTGGGGTGCAGGGACTGAGGTGTCAGGTGATGGGCAGGAACTGCTAGGTCCCAGGGGGAATTCAGATTTTAGTCTAAGTGCAGTGCGGAGTGACCAGAGACAGTGACGTGGCCTCTGTAGGCTCCCCCCTCCACCCCCCAAAAAAGATATACAAGAGTAAACATGGAAAGGTTTGAGGGGAACTGTGGGTGGAAGATCCGACTGGGCAGGAAAATGAATTAAAAAATGAACACCATGGGGGCAGGGGGGAGAGATGAACCATGAGCTCTTGTTCTATGGATAATGTTGGGATTTTCCCCCACATCCCATTTCATCCCATGAGCACCATGATTACAGTTCTACTCAGAGTTCCTTGGAAATACATCTGAGGATTTGACCAGAAGGTTGCAGGTGGCAACACTTAAAAACAGGTGAGAGGAAATTAAATAAAAGATAGCACTGATTCTCTGTGGCCATTCTGACCTTCACAATTTATGACTATGTCTTTGCCATCTACAAGTCACTTATTTAGAGTGAGCCAGCCTTTCAGGTACACAACTCAGTCCGGAGAAGAAAGGATTTAGGCTCGACGGAATTATAAGGGAAAAGGGTACACACTTGGAGAAGACTTTACAGAAATCTCAACAGAATTAAAATAGCCTGTCCTCGCTCTCCTTTGCCCAAACTGTGCTGTCAGATACGTTTTCATAAAATAGAGTTTTCATTGTTTTACTCCTCTGATGAAAAATTTCCAATAGTTTATCGATACTTACTGGATAAAGAAAGTATGCTGCACACTTTATGGTCGGACTCTGCCCACCTTGCCAGGCTGATGACCAACCATATCCCCTCAAGTCAAGAGTCTACCCTCTCTTCTAGGAAGAGGTCTTGGATTCTCCCATTTCCATGTCTTTGCACACAAAATTCCATTTTTCCAGAATGCTTATCAGTAGTTCTTTAGCTTCTGGGGATCCTAGACCACTTTAACAAGTAACGGGCGCCGTAGATCCTCTTACCAGAAACAATGATGCGTGCACAGATTTCTTTACAATTTCATGGACAGCCTGGCAGTCATTCCAACCTACTGAAAAGCTGTTGGAATTCTACACTTCCTTCCAGGTCCAGATCGGATACCACCCGTTGCCTGGTGCATTCCCAGTCTTCTTCCTGTGGTGGGCGGGATCCCCATGCTCGGAGGGCTTACAGCTAAGTCACTTGCTTGGAAATTTGTGGCAAATGACTGTGAGCCCTATTTTATACTATGGCCCTGCACGCTTTCCCCTTGTGCTATTTAAATTTTTATCTACATATGTCTTATTTCCCTCACTGGAACTGGAGTCTAAGGGCAGGAAATGTTTTAGTCACCTTTGTATGCCCAGTGACTACTTCGGGGACTGATGTGAATTCATTCATAAATTAATATGAATGACAGAGACTATGGTTCTCCAAAAATTTTAAGCTCCTTCATGGCACGGACTACCTGGCTTTGATCAGATTCCCAGAGTAAGAGGTGCTCAAGAAATGTGCCAATCGATTGGTAAGAAAATAGTAATAGGGGGCGCCTGGGTGGCTCAGTCAGTTAAGCATCTGCCTTCGGCTCAGGTCATGATCTCAGGGTCCTGGGATGGAGTCCTGTGTCAGGCTCCCTGCTCAGTGGGGAGGCTGCTTCTCCCTCTCCCTCTGCCCCTTCCCCCACTCGTACTCTCTCACTCTCATTTGAATAAATAAAATCTTAAAAAAAAAAAGAAAGAAAATAGTAATAGGATCATCTACTGAGCACTTACTATACTCTGAACTCCTTATGAGCATTATTGTCCTTTGTCCTTACAAACCTCATGTGAGGTGTGAGTTACTACCTCCATTTCATAGATGAGAAAACCAAGAACAAGAATTAGGTCAAGTTTTTCAAGGTCAATTAGCCGGTACATGTTAGAGCTGGTGTGAGAATCCAGGTGTGTAGGACTCCCTAGTAATTCCTCAAAAAAAAAATCACAGCTCACTAATTTGCTCTGGGGTTCATTCTGAGAAGGGCCCTGCCCTACATCCTTCCAGTTTTATTTTTATGTGTGTTGTGTGGTCAGGCCCAACCCCCTACAGCTCTGTGGACAAGTAGCAAGTGACATGGCCTTGACCCTGGCTTGGCTGAGGCAGACCGTGGTCGGGTTCTCTGTGAGGGGCTGACGCCAGTGCTCACCTGTCCGTCAGAGGCGTGATCACCAGGCGAGGCGTGTTTCCCAGGTACTCGTAGGAATAGAGAAACTGGGCATCACAGATGTTGGCGAAGCAGTGTTTGGCCTCATCATCCCAACGATGCCGCAGCTGGGACAGCCAGAGGAAGGCCTGAGCACTGTCCACCTAAAGAGAGGGTGAATCACTGTCCAGCAGGGAGCATGGGGCCTGCAGGCCACAGGACACACAGGGCTCTGGATGAGCTGGGTGTTGTCTACCAGTCAGGAGTATGTGCTGGGCCCCCCGTAGCACAGAAAGCATGAGCTGTTCTGATGATACTCATTTGCTGGGAGCAGCCACCATGACCCTATCCCGGCTTTCTGGCCAGCACAGAGTCTGGGATCTCCATGTTTGAGCTGTATGTGAGCTTCTCCCTTATCCCACCATTCATGGTGTATGTGAGGTCCCACCAAGAGGGACCCTCCTGAAATGTCTGGGACTCACCTTCTGAGCAATCATCTTGGCCACCACATCCCGGGCATGCACATCAATGGTGCATATGGTCATGATCTTCTGCCGGTCCCCTTTGGAGAGATGGCCGATTAGCATGGTGATGAGGGTTTTGAGCTGGGCCACTTGCTTCTTGTAATAGTCCTTCATGGCATTCTCGTAGCCTTCCTCCAGCCTGGCAAATGCAATGCCCACCTCTGTGGTCCACCAGATCTGAGTGCAGGTCAGGGCCACCTGTGGAACAAGGAGCCACTTAGTAAAGCCATCACCAGGACTATCTCCCAAACCAGCCCACTCATCCATCACCCAGCAAGAACCAGAATGGAATCACGTGGGTGACGTAAGCCCCTTCCCTCCCTCTTCCAACAGCCTTGATTAAGCGAGCCACTTGTCTCCATCTCCTTGGAGATGGGAAGTGGTTCCAAGTGGGGAAAGCGCTTTCTGCTCTTGAAAAAAATGTATTGTTTGTTTGAAAACAACCAAAGAATCACTCTGGTCAATGTCAGTGGCTTTTAGAAATTGCTACACTCATCTTTCCGTTTTTCCCCCCAGGCAAACCATCTTTCCTGTGCTTGAGAGGTTAACAATATGCTGACTGAACATCTCAATAGCACTTGGACTTTGTTCTGTTCTTCTTGAACTTCTTGTGGTCTGAGCATTCTAGCTTAGTGAGCCACCAATGATCATTTGTGGCACGTTTTTGCTTGTCCATAACACTTTCGCTACATATATTTTTTAGTTTTTAAAACCTATCACCTTGAAAAGCCCACTCTTGAAGATCAAGGTGAATTACAGCAAAATTCAATGGGGTCAACCGGATTTGTGTTTTTCAGAGGTTTGAAAGAGATACACGCAAAAAGGGATTCGAATGAACATTTCTTCTGTTTGCTGAGAAACTTAATGTGGAAAAGGCATAATTCTGATTATTCATGGTGGAGAATTTAGATACACTGATCATCTGTTGTATCATTTGATTTGGGAGACCCTGCTCTAGAGGTCCGTCACAATAGCAGAAGGCTATTTTCTTGCCTCAAAATTCTGATTCAGGTAAACAAGGAATCCTGACAGGAATGATTCTCTTTGTGAAAAAGAGAAACCCATCATATAAATGTACCATTCTCTCATTTGTCTGATTTTGCCGCTGGGTTTAGACATACGGTTCTGCCTGCGCTGTGATCTTGTTGGGACGGTTTGAATGTGACATGCCAATTGCAGAGTTAAGAGACTTCTTCCCTCCAGCAGTACTGACTTCCTTCTCATTTCTTCTGTTTGTCTACACTTGCTGCCAAGTCTACACTCGCTGCCAACATTTTCCAACCTTCGTCTCCCATCTCTGCCCCCTGGCAACATGGCACCACCTGGCACTCCACTGAAATGGCCACACCAAGTTCAGGGACGCCTCTCAGCCTCTTTATTTTGCTTGATCTCTTCCAAGTGCATGGCATGACTGACCTCTCACCCACTACCGACGGTTTCGTTTTTGGTTCCATTATGACCATTCCCTGGTTTTCCTTCTATCTAAAAAGGCACCGTTTCTCATTCTGCTTTACCAGCTCTTCCTTGCTGACCCCATCTTTGCATGATGCTCAAGGGTTTGTTCAACATCCTCATCTCCATCTACGTGTTTTCCAAGGCCATCCTCTCTACTCCTACGGCTTCAATTACCAGTAGACATCTGCAACCCCCAAATGTACCAGCACCAGCACTGTGCCCCTAACAGGGAAGGCGGGAGGGGATGTTGCAGCCAGAGTCATCTAAACAATTCTCATTAGTTCACACCTTTCCCTCATCGCCCTCTTGAGAAGCCTGGAAAGGATTCAGATACATCTCAGAAGCAAGTCAGACTCCCTCAGGTGGCCCATAAGAACTGGCTTTGAGTTTCTTCTGCAGGACCCAACTGCTGCCTCTCACTTCCTCCTCCCCTTCCTCTTGCTGCAACCACACTCAGTTCCTCAACCACAGGATGCTCTTCCTTGCTTCTGAGCCTTTGCTCATGGTCTTCCCCATGCTTGGTGGCTCTTTCCCTCCATCCTTCACTTGTTTGCTCCTACTTCAAATCTCAGCTTCTATGTTGTATCCTCAGGGGGGTGGTCCCCGGACCCTACTAGCTAGCTCTGTGCTCCCAGAGTACCAGGTCTCATTGGTAAGTGACTGACTTTCACATCAGTCTGTAAACTTTGGCAGGGCAGGGTTATGATGTCTCGTTCCCTGTTGGGGGTCTCCTGCGTTCAGCGAAGATCCAGGCACATCCCAAGCAGGCTGGCTCAATGAGTTGAATGGTTTACATTTTCTCCCTACAGTAGTCAGTGAGGGTAAAAATGGCCAACACTTGATTCTCCAAGGTAATGGTTGGAGTGGGTCATGGCTGACAATTCCCCTGTTCCCTCTTGCTAACCCCCTCTCAGACCAGCCTCTTCTAAATGGGAAGCACATAGTGAATTTGGGGTCTGGTGTGTCCTGAAGGCTGCAGGAGGCCCCCAAGGGAGAGGACTTAGTGAAGGACGGGGGCCCACAAAGGTCCTGGTTAGAATACCTGAGCTGGATAGTCAAAGAGCCACTGTTCCCTCGGCTTTTCTTCATAGGCAACTACACCTTCTGTCATCCCGTGCCTCACTGTGGCCCTCATATGAGCAAGCACACGGTTCAACCATATTTCCACCTGAAAAAGAACTCTGAGTGAGATGCTGGGTTCTGAGGAATGTATGATCACTCACCTTGAGGGAGTGAAGAAAATGTACAACCCCAATGGCTGCCAGGAGGCACAGGGAGCCATTTTGTTTCTGGACCCAGGACAGTGATTGGTGAGAACGAGGCTCAGTTAAAAACAGGCCCATTTGGAACATACAGGACAAAGCAGCAGGTTAAGGGAAGCTTCCTTCAAGGAAGTCTTAATCTGGGTTGAGCAAGGTCAGTAAGTCAGTGGGTTCTCATGAGCTTGTCCACGCTGAGGATGGCAATGTCAGCCAGAATTATATTTTCCAACTAAATGCTTTCTGGTCTACCAATGGATACATCCCGAATCAAACCCCAGGGTTCCTTCTCATAAAACTAAGAATGTCTGATCATTTCCTGGAATTAGAATTGCTTTCCAAGAAACATGTGGATGAAGGTAGACCTCTGTAAAAGATTTTTTCTCCAGGTATGATTTTGGACTTGATTAGAAGCCCCAGGGACAATGCTTTGTTGGATCACTTAGGATAATAAACAAAGAAGGGCTTATACTTTAGCGGTGATGGGAAAGGATAGGAAGGAAGTCTAAGGAGGGAACCATCCCATGTTTTGTGCTTCTTGAACTGTACACGGGAGACTTAGAGGTAGTAGTTCCTGGAGTGGGATGGGATCTGGCTTTCCCAGGGCTAGGGCTGTGGGAGGAAGTGACTCTGAGCTGTATTTGTACAGAGAAATGACATCTCAGGAGAATGGCTGATTTCAAAGAGCATTTTCTCCAGGGTAAGATGTCAGCGTGCCAGATTCCCCTGTGGGGTGCCCCGAGCTTTGTCATGTGAAAGCCTCCCTGTGCTGCTAATCATTTTAAAATCCTTTTCTTGTTGACTGGGGTAGTTGTTTATGTGCATTTTATTCCTCTCCACACAGGTCTTTGGTTAAGAAAAACAGATGGGGCACCTGGGTGGCTCAGTTGGTTAAGCGACTGCCTTCAGCTCAGGTCATGATCCTGGGATCATGAGTCCCACGTCGGGCTCCCCGCTCGGCGGGGAGTCTGCTTCTCCCTCTGACCCTCCTCCCTCTCATGCTCTGTCTCATTCTTTCTCTCTCAAATAAATAAATTCTTTTTTTTTAAAAAAAAAGAAAAACAGATGGACATTGACATGTGTCCTTCCTGGAGAAAGGAGAACAGGGACGAGGAACTTTTCTGATGTCAGATCAAGTCAAGAGAAGCTGGCAGTCCCAGGACACAGACAGCAGTTCTGGCCCAAGGTCAAGATGGCCATCTTGAAGGTTGAGGCTGCCTGCATTTGAATGCAGACACTTGAGAGGGAAAGGAACGAGAAGGGAGGGAAAGGGACTTTTACTCTACCCGACCGCTGCAGTCACAGGGCTCACTGAAGGCCACATACTCTCCTTCCTTGCTGTACATGCCGAGACTTATCTTGGTTGGTGGCTCACCAGCATCCGGTTGGAACTGCATCTTCGCCATATTGTCAAAGAGTTTGGAAAGATGGCGTTGGACCTACAAAGGAAAATCGTGCCAAAGGATTGGAGGATGTGTCCAGGAAGATGCTCATTAGTACTGTTCAGAGGTCTACTGTGTGACAGCCATTAAAGGCTGGATATCAAACATTTAGAGGGAAGCTTGTGGGAACGATGGTGGTATGAGGTCAGAACCAACTGAATTGGGTAGGAGTGGCCAAAAGAATATAAAATTGGTGTGAATTGTGGACTAGCCACCACCCAATGAAGCCACAAAAGTTTGACTCATGTCTGCTTGATCTAAATGGGAACAGACTGGAGGAAAAAAATGATGGTTGGTTCGTAAACCCCCTTCCTCAGGAGATAGGCAGAGGATAGTCTGCAGAAGGGCAGTGGTGACAGTGACCTGTAGAAGAAGCTGACCAGATGTTGGAACCATTTCGGTGCAGCAGGAGGATCCAAAGCAAGGCAAGCATGCTCACCCCAATCAGAGAGCCTAGCCATGCCAGGACTTCTCCCTTGTGGGTCGTCTCATGATACAGAAGCCCTTTACAGTAACGCCCCAGGGGAATGTTCTGGGACTGTTGCCGGAGGGCCACGCCATGATCGTGAGGTGAGGGAGATGGCAGGTTGGAGAGGAAAAATAAATAGAAAGCTGCTCTTTGGTAGAGCCTTTTGAGATACAGGGCCTTCAGACTTCTGGTACCCTGAACTATAACCCTAAATCTACAACAACCAGCTCTCCGGCTTATGAGAGGAGAAATTCTACATGTGTTGAAGTAAACTGTGAGGTACTTGAGGAGATCCCACCCACAGTGACTTGGGATCAATATCTTGATGGGATGGAGCCTTCTTTATCCAAGAGAGAGAGACAGACAGACAGAGAAAGGAGAGGGAGAGGGAGGGAGAAGCTTTAATAAAGGAAACAAAAGTAATTATGAAAAATGCCACCTTGTTTTCAATTAAATGAAAGAAATACGAACCCTACAAAATATGAGGTGAAGATGAATTGGTAGTGGTAGGGAATAATGTAAGGAAACAACAAATAGTAAAGGACCAAATCAAAACAAATTCAATATGGCGGATGAGCTTGAGAACCTATGGAAGAATTCCAAGGAAGAGGGATAAGAGATGAAAATCTGTATGAATATATGCAAATATATATGAATATGTGAAGGTAATATATATAGCACAGAGAAGATAGAATCTCAACTTTTGGAAATCTGAAGGGGAAAAAATCCAGATAAATGGAACAGAAATATTATTTTAAAGCATACAGAAAGAAAGCTTTTTCAAGATAATGAAAGCCCTAGTTTTCAGATTGGAAAAAAAACCTCATCATGTGTTGGAAAAATGAACAAAGTATATAAACGTATACAAATTTTCTAGAATTAAAATTTAACTTAAATTTTGATCTCTACAGAGATCCAAATAGAAAGAACTTAGGCTACCTAGAAAGGTTTTGGGGGAACAAAGGCAGGGAGACCTCAGATGACATCTCAGATGATGTCTCAGAGCTACGTTTGAGGGGATTTGAGGAGAAATTGCTGTGACCCATGAATTCCAAACTCAACCATTCAATCACTCGCCTGTAAAAACAGCTGAGAGTCACAGATATAGAAAGAATCGGGGGTTAGCCTCTCATGCTTCATCTCTCAGGGTGGTGAGGAGGGGGGAGCTACTTAAGGATTTACTCAAACCAAGTGAGAAATAAATAAAATATATTTAAGAAGGAGTACATCATGTATAAAGGGTCTGGCAACGATCTCGGACTTTTCCTATGCGTGGAATTAATGAACATACAGTTACAAAACAGAATGTTAGTGTGATAAATATTTCACTGCCACCATACCTGGGCTACTCTGCAATGATGCCCATCTATAGTAAAAAAAAAAAAAAAAAAAAAAAAAGGGGGGGGGGGCTTTAACTCTAGGGATAAATTCTCTTTAGTACTTGCTTCTTACCCACAAACCCAAAACATCAGTTCAGTAACTTGGAGACAGAAAACTAATGCGTGGGTGCCATCTTTTGGTTCTGTTGGAGCAGCTCACATCTATCGTTGTCGATGCAAAAAGCTAGAACTTCTGGGCGCCTGGGTGGCTCAGTTGGTTAAGCGACTGCCTTCGGCTCAGGTCATGATCCTGGAATCCCTGGATCGAGTCCCGCATCAGGCTCCCTGCTCGGCAGGGAGTCTGCTTTGCCCTCTGACCCTATCCCCTCTCATGTGTTCTCTCTCATTCTCTCTCTCTCAAATAAATAAATAAAATCTTTAAAAAAAAAAAAGCTAGAACTTCTATGGAGGGAAATGGGGCAATATCAAGCCCGACCACATAGCATTTACCCTTTGACCCAGAAATCCCACTTCTAGGAATGTACCTGGAAGGCAGACCTCCAACAATACAATAGTCCAAATTATTCAATGCCACATTATTTGGAATTGCAAAATAGTATAAACAACATCTGGCCAAACTATGGTATAGTCCCATGGGGTGTGATGCAGGTGTATTAAAAAAAAAAAAAAAAGAGGGGGATATATTTAAATCGATAGGGAGTGATTTCCAGGACCCATCACTACAGAAAAAAATGGTGTTCAAGTATATATAGGACGCTACCTTTTGTGTGAGAAAGGAGGGTAAATAAGAAAACGTACGTGTGCAAATGTAAATGCACATCTGCTCATGTTTGCAAAGATAGACCAGAAATGCATGGGCCTGGTGACCTACGGGGAGTGGAGGGGAGGAACAGGAGTAGCGTTGCCCACATACCTTTTTGCATAGTTTGACTTTAGAATGCTACACATTCAAACAATCCAGTCGATGAGGATGGGGACGAACCTCCGAAACTCAAGGCAAAGGGAAATAAATGAACTTGACTATACTTCAAATGAATAATGAAATCACATGGAAGGGGGAAAAGAACTCATCCAAGTCACTTCTGAACAGGGTGTTTTGACTGGCTCTCCTCACAGGAAAAGTGGAGAATTAGAAAGGAATCCTGAAGTCTTGTTAGGGTGAGAAGCGAGGAGAGCTACGGGAACATGCATGGAGACATCATCCCTCCCTCCTGTCGGTCACTTGGGAGACTCAGACCTTTGGTCTAGGACAGTCACTTGCAAAGTGTGGTCCCCAGACCAGCAGCATCATGTGGGAAACCCTGAGACATGCAAATTCTCCAGCCCCACCCAGACCTACAGAACCATGTGAAGCTCTGGGGGTAGAATTCAGAAATCTGCCTTTTCGCAAGCCTTTCAGGTGATTCTGATACACCTGAGCCGCCCGGTGACTCTCAAGTTTGAGAACCACTGTCCACAGCTCCAAATACCAACAGTGCTCCAATTAGTTACTCTAATATTAAGGAAAAAAAAAAATAAAAAAACCAACCTTGTAGCAAAGGGGCTATTTTACAGATGAGGATGTCTGTCAAAGAGAAGGGACACCCAAGACTACATGGGGGCCAATGAGTGGCTAGAGCCCCCAGTTTTGAGCTACTCATACACACTCCTTCCACAAAATCACAAAACGTCAACTTAATACAACCTCCAGTCTTCTCTCCCGTGGAAATTTTAGCTATAACTTTGGACAGCGGTGTCCTGGATCTCTCTTCAGAATCAGATCAAAGGCGTTCCCCGTAAAGGCTTAGCACCCCCTCCACGTTCCCCATCCTCAAAGCTTCCCCCTTCAGGGGGCAGTGGGGGCCACCGATGGGCAGGGGGCACCCTGAGAAGCACAATAGTGGGCATCAAAGATGCTGGTGGGAGCACAGGTCTGAAATACGCACACTGCCAGAGAGAGGAGGCATAATGGGGAACCTGAAACCCTCCCCACCGGGAGCCCCCTCCGTCCTTCCAGACGTTTCCACGGGCTCTCCTTCAGCTTACCTGTTGCGGTGCTGTGCCATTGGAAAGGGCGTCTAACAGGTCAGAAGAGGACAGAAAGTAAAACCGAGGGAAGGCAAGCCTTTTGGTATCCAGGTACTCGGCCAGGGCCTTCTCACACAGGTATAACCTGAGGGCACAGACGCAGAATTCCCTGATTAAGTTTGCTTAGACCCACAGGTGCATGCACAGACTCGGCCGAAATGCAGACAGACGCAGCATAGGGAATACATGCAGAATCGGTGCAAGAAACACTTATGGGTGCTTGCAAATATACACACTGGTGCATTTCCACCCAAATAAATGGCTCTAGTAATACCTCCCATTACCTGACATACAGGCAAATCAAAGCACACACACAGACACACACTCGCTCGCTGGGACAGTTAAAGAAAGTAAGGATCTCGGAGACAGAATCGGAAAAAGGAAACACTGCCCTCCTCGGCACTAAAAGGGGAGGCAGCAAGCAGACCGTCACCTGCTCTGAAGATCTTCCAGTTTTTCGTAAAGACCTGGTTTGTTGGTGGCTTCCACTACATTGGGAGTCTTCTGGGCGGCATAAGCTAGCTCTTTAAAGTCAATGTCAATGCCTTCGAATCTTTTAGAATCCTGAAAGAAACACGTGGGGAAAAATGAACTATCGCTTTCTTGGACTCGAAGATCCCTCGTGTAGCAAGTGAGAAGCAGAAACCAGTTCTGGGGATGTTCTAAAACTCGGAGGGGGAAATATCCTTAGCTTGAAAGAGTTGTTCCTGAACATTTGGGTTGTAAATCTCCTTTCTGCTTTGAAAAATCATTGAGGAGTGCAAAGAGCTTTTGTGTATGTGGGTAATCTATCCATCAACGCGTCTGCTCTCTTGGAAGCTCAAGTTGAGAAATTTTAAAAAGTATTTGTTAATTCATTTATTTT